TAGTTAAAATTGAGACTGAAAGATGACCGATAACACTTTCCTTCGTGGTTCTTCCGGGGGAACATTTTCTATGTTTAAAAAAAAAAGATTGATACATACAATAGTTGCAACAATGCTAACAAAAATAATCAGGACCTGTATTTACAAGACTTCCCACCAAGAAAACTGTATAATTAGAAATACAAAATTTTATTTTTTGCCAGTGCAAATAAAAGCTTTCATGTGGTGTTAACTACACTACTTGATGGGTCTTTCAAGTGTGATAGTCTCTTGCCTCAAAAGGATACTGAAATTTAACACACATTATGTATGAACTTGATAAAAATGATAGAGTATTTTACGCTATTTATATAAAAGAACATTTTTTTGCAAAAAGCCTAAAAGAATGGTTTTTTGTTTTGACATTTTCATCCAATGGGGATTTGCATCAAAATAAGCCTTTTGGCTGGGCAAATAAAAATAAGTATTTCATTAACCCATTATTCATTATGGTAGTATCAGGAAAAATAATACATGACTAGACATTGTACAAATAATACATTAAAAGACACATGGCTGAGGCAGTGTGTAGCCTGAGCACCTGAAGATGCAAGTCCAGCTCATGCAAAGTTACTGGTTCTTAATTAAATCTGGCTCAAGTAGTTAAATGACAGGAATCTAAGCTTCCACTGCCATGGAAGTAGTTAGTGGTAGATGCTTACATGGCCTCTGCTGCCCTCTCTCCTGCTGCTGGTTGGTTTAAATATCACTTGAGTACATCTACAGGAGCTTTTAAGCACATCTCTGATCGAAACAGAGAGAAGCAGAGTAAGCCCTAATTAAATGGTCTTACTGATTTTGCAAGTGGCTACAAGATGTTTGCCCTATCCTGATATTTTTAATAAAACCAGGGATTATAAAAAAGATTATTTATAGAGGGATGGATTTTTTTTCAAACAATTATAGGGCCAAATTTCCTACCTGCCGTCCAACCCTAACCATTGTATGATTCTGTGATTCTCTAAAGAGTGACTGAAGTCTTTCTGTGTGCCCACACAACGGTTATGAACACCAAAAACTGCCAAACTGGGTCAGCGTGCAGGTTGACAAATCCAATCTCCTGCTTCCAGCAATAGCCAGTATTTCAGAAGAAGTCTAGAAGATTGATCAGTTTGTCCACTGGTACACTCCAGAATAAAAAATTACTCCTGAAGCCTGTATAGTCAGGAGTGCGTATCATCTAATGGACATGACTCAATTTAGCCGCCAGTTTACAAGTTTTACAAAATTCTGCTTCCTCATCTGCAGTGTGGAGATTAGCTTAGCATCTACAGATGAAATAGGAATTGAAACTTTGTCAACAGGCCAATTTTTTGCAACAGGCCCCCATTAGAGTAAATGGAACAGAATTTATTCCTTTTTTTTTTTTTTTTTTTACAAAAATTGTAGCGTGTGAGGTTTTTTAGTATTACAGATTATTTGGAGTGGAAAGTAAACTCTGACCTTCTGAAAGGTGTTCTTGCCCTGCTAAGTAACTTTCAACTCTTCAAATCTTGCCTCAACCTCGCTTCCTTGTGGCAAGCTCCCTCAGTGGTCTTTCCTCTTCTTCCACTGAAACCTGTGAATTCTCCATCTGTTTTGGGCTGGACGTTGTATAGGGATTGCCTGTGTTTTGTCTTGTCAAATACCGAAAGCACTTTCAGCACACCGATAAATACGGCACATCAGTTTGTAATGACAGCAGGTGAGTTTTAGTGCAGCATTTAATTGTTAACAAGTTTGTCAGATTTCAAATATGGTTTTCACTGGTCTGCTCCCATTTTTATGCTTTTATTTGCAACTCACACTTAAGACTTCAGAATAGCTTCAAGGGCTATTACCAGTTTAATCACATTGAAAATGCTGTCTTTAGTCAAAACACAAACTTTTTTTTTTATTCTACATTTAACAACATTGTATGTGTTTCTGTTTTTCATCTTTTCAGAGGGGGCTGTTAATACTTCAGCATAAAAGCATTATTCTCTGGGTTCACATTAGGTTGGGAGTTTACATAAAACAATTGAGCAAAAGAGTACAAATAAAGCTTTGTCATTCCTAAACATGTAGTAAAAAAAGCAGCTTTTCTCAGGACTGCTAATCCTGGATCAAAGAACAACAGAGCCAGGGGCAGTGGCTAAGCAACTTTCCTTTGCTTCTCCAGGCTCCTGGAGAGTAAGAGCTGCTCAGTTCACTCTCCAAGGGTGTTTTACTCATCCTTGCTCGCTAGAAAGCTCTACAGATGATTTTAGAAGTTTTAAAATGATGCTATAATGCTGCTGTAGAAGAGGGTAACGTAGTTAATGGGGTCAGTGCACTGCCCCTTCCAGGGGCTCGCCAGTAATTCTGAAACATATTCAGAGCATTAGGATAGGCTTTTCAGAAAATATTTCTTCACCTAATTAAAAAAATTATCTGCTGAGTCCGAGAACGCTTGTCAATACAGAAGGAAAATGGAACACAGTTCTATGCTGGAAAACACTAATGAGATAGTGAGCGTTCATCTCAGTAATTACTGTGGCTTTGTTAGGGCTTTGTTGTTTGAGCTGGTCTGAGGCCTGTCTGCTGCTGTCAGAGACAAGTTGAGTTCCCCATCTTGCTCATCAGCAAGCGTCTGGAAGCTGGAATGCATCCTGATTTTTACCTCTCCAGTCTTACTGTCATTCATGGGACTCTTGTCCAATGTAAGATATAAAAGGTGACCTTTGTGCTTCCATGTACATTTGACAACCTGCTGGCTCTGGCTGGGATGGATAATGTTCCTCAGAGCAGCCCGTAAGGTGCCACGTTTGGGTTTGTGACTAAAACGGTGTGGTAACACGTCAGTGTTCTGGCGATTGCTGAGCAGGGCTTGCACAATGTCAAGGTCTTCCCTTTTTCCTGCTCTGCCCCTCCAGCGGGCAAAAAGCTGGGAGGGGGCACAACCTGCACAGTGCACACAATGAGCCAGCACGGATATTCCACACCACGTAATCTCATGCTTGGCAATAAAAGCTGAGGAGAGGGTGGTGGGGTTTTTTTTTGGGAGGGGTATGGTGGCAGCTGTTGCTACTGGCCTGTTCGTGGGAGGTCACGAGTGATTGATTACCTTTGCATCACGTGCCTGAGGTTTTTTCCTTCCTCTTTTCTTCATTTATTAAAATGTCTTTATCGCAACCCGCAAGTTTTTGCACTTTTGCTCTTCCTATTCTCTCTCCCATCCCGCTGGGGTCAGGGGTGAAGAGCAAGCAAAAGGCTATCCAGGGTCAACTAGGGTCAACCCCACAGTCAACTATTCCATTGCACTGGAAGATCATTCCAAGATTAGCATTTATTCTGTTTATTAATCTTTTTGATAACAGTTCATGTTGGTACTTTAAATATTACATGTCACAGTTAAGTACAGTTACATAAATTAATTATATATCAGAACACACACACACAATATTAACTCTTGAGACATCTTAATGTTCAGGTATTTCACAAAGCTAGGAGCCAGCTCAAACCTCCTCATCTATTGCACAGAAGTAGTCAAAGTTCAGCGGCTTTAATTCACGCTCTAGTTACAAACTAAAACCCCAAGGGACTGCAAATGACACGTGAGCAAGAATAACAATAATAAGAATAACAAGACACTGCGAGCAAGGTCTTGCAGAAAAGGGGTGTCAACTCTTCTGGGTAGAAAACATTGTTCTTCAGAAGGGTGTGAACTTTCTGAAGTGTTACATATAGTTTTCTATAAGAATATTACAATACGTTGTAGCACTAAGGCAACAGGTGCTGGATCAGTGAAAAGCACTGAGAAGATGACGTTCAAGGAAGCTTGCAGGTGCAACAGACCATCATCACCTCAGCTGCATCTAAATGCATCAGCCAAGGACACTTGATTATTAGGCACCAAGAGACATGCTCTGCGAATGAAGAAAATCCCCTCCGTTGTTTCCCGGAATTCTAACCTTCCCAACAGTCTGCCTGAATATGGTATCGAAAAACAGAGCACCAGCACTGCTGACGAGAGTCATACAGCAAAGGCAAATGTTCAGCAGCAACCCAACATGTTCCAGTTTTGGACCAAGTCCCTGCTATCCCAAATTCAAATCACATTGCTATTATGCAAGCCTGCCACGTAGTCACTGCACTGAAGATTCATTTCTCTTATGACATCATTTAGAAATCAAATTTAGCCAAGGCATTAGAAATCTCCGAGGGACCTCCAGTGAGAGCAATATCAGAACCATCTAAAAATTTGTATTTTTTTTCTACCATCATGCAGAAGAGCAGTGTATTATATCAGTTCCTCTGAACTCTTCACATTTTTTGTAAACATACAATAAGTAAGAAGGAAACAATCCAACATACAACCACTTAACAGGTACATTTAAAACTATATTCTATGTTTTATAGCATTATCACATCTTGGGCACCTACTGTATTAACATTTACTATGTCTCTGTCATGCAAATAAGACAGGCAATATACTCAAGTGGTTTAGCACCAGAAAGTTAGTAGTGTACTTTCAGCAAGGTACCTACTAATAAATAGTAGGAAATACAGATGGAAACTTAACTGTTTTAAATGTTACTTGCAATGCCAGAACAATGCATCTTTAAAATAAAAGCTTGACTCCACCCCAAATATTCCCTTTGGTACCACATACATGCTTGTTAGTAGTAACTTGCTGCCTTAGTTGCAATACATTCTGCTGCTATACCCTGCCTTTAACTAGGAAACGTTCTCTGCGTATGTGTCTGTATGTGTTATGTCTATATATACAAATATAAAATTATAATTAAAATACATCGCCCTGTTGTCAGAGAAGTACACAGACTCAAATATCCAAATGGCAGAATGAGGTTAGCAGCTACAAATTCTGTGTGTATTTCCTCGTAAGGAACTAAAGCTTTTTTTATCCTGATTTATCATTGGCAACGTCAAACTGTGCAACCTTAAATGAGAGTTCGAAGACCAAGAACCAGCTGGCCAGCGACACGAGGCCGAGTGCGTCTTCAACTGGCAGCGTTTTCGGTTTGCAGCCGCTCCATCAGTTGTTCAGCCTGTGAGAGAGAGAAAGCAACGCATTAACCACGCCCTGAACCTCCAGTTTACTGAAAATTCCATTCTGAGAACAGTAAGCGACCCTGACAGAGCATTTACTTTTCGTTTTCACAGACAAAGCATACAGCAGAAGGAGAACACAGTGACTGCTTTAAACAGCAGACTCTTTTTCACAGTTTCCATCAAACTCCCATTAGGTGATCAGAAAAGGAGACAGAACCTATCAAAGTCAGAGGATGTTTGAGCAAATAAATAGCAGAAAAAGCAGCGTGGTTTTAAAGACCTCAGAAGACAGCAGTGCTCAGAACAGCCAAGCTGCAAGATCTGGAATTCTTTGGGATACGCTCCAGAATGGCGTGCTGTGGCCTCTCATCGCCCAACAAGCTGCACACCAGCCGTGTATGTCGCTGAGGGGTGGAGTGCATTCATGTACATGGGTCATGTCATGAGAGATGCGTCCATTTGGTTACGTCACTACGCTCACACATACGGCTATTTATGCATCCAGCACATGACTGGCGCAGCTGTATTTTGTATGTGTAACAGCACCAGCCCACAGGGCCCTCAGACTCACGGCAGGAGGAAGTCACAGAATCACAGAATGTTAGAGATTGGAAGGGACTTCAAAGGATCATCTAGTCCAATCCCCCTGCCGGAGCAGGACCACCTAGATCAGATCACACAAGAACACGTCCAGGCAGGTTTTGAACATCTCCAGAGAAGGAGACTCCACAACCTCTCTGGGCAGTCTGTTCCAGTGTTCTGTTACCCTTACTGGGAAGAAGTTCTTCCTCATGTTTAAGCAGAACCTCCTATGTTGCAGCTTATATCCATTTCCCCTTGTCCTATCATTGGATGCCAGTGAGAAGAGCCTGGCTCCATCCTCATGACAATCACCCTTTACATATTTATAAACATTAATGAGGTCCCCCCTCAGTCTCAACACTGTTGCAGCAGGCCAAAACGTGCACATGGAGACTAACATGGGCATTTCTGAAACAAATCAGTTTACTGTCAGCCTTTTTTTTTGCCAGTCCCACTGAATTAATCTTTTAACTTGAACTAGTGCTTGAGGTTTTATTAAGATCTCCAAAGGAATCACGTTAAAAGGTGAAGAGCTTAAGTTTGGCATGTTTTAAATACAGTAAAAATGCAATCAGCTACTTAGGGTAAGAAAAATTTAACAGGAGTTAAGTAGCTCTTGCAGTTTATTTGCAAATAAAGCTAGATAAAGCATGGAGCAACTGAAAATGAAGTTACCTGAACCTTATTTAAACAAGTATACTTAAACAAGTATCAAACAAGCCACTACAATAAAAAAAAAAAACAAACCCAAAACCGACTCAAGAACCTTTTTCAACTTGACAATCAGTCAATATCTTTTGAAGTGCATCCATATTGGATAACCAAACTAGGTACAGATTCTCCCTGAGCTAATCCAAGACAGTAAGCAAGAAAACGACAGTTATACTTATTTGAGCGCCAAATACCCATGTGACACTCTACAATACAGCAGAGACACATCTGCTTTTTTCAAGCTAGGCGAGATCTCCAGTGAGGTACCACTGTGAAGAAGTGAGTTTTTTCTTTTTAAGTAGGAGGCTGTCTACATTCTTTAGATAAGACAGACTTTTTTCAGCATCTTTGTTTTGGGGCTGTGCAAAAACACCAGGATGCTGTAGCTGCATAGCCAGGACAGGTTCTTTTACTGCATCAAGGCAGTGAGAGTAATCATTCGTCTTCGAGAGAAAGATGTTCAAATGATTTAGTCAGTGCCAGTTCAGTCTCACTGCTTACCTCTACTGACATAAATCAGTACATTGTTTCAGTCTAAGGATGACAAGATGAGAAAACCCATGGGAAACGCTAAAAGTGATCACTAGGTAGCTATTTTTTTTACCTAAACTGGATGAAGCAGGGTACGTACAATACCTAGCCCATCACACTTATCCTTTCACATGAAAGAACAAATGAAATGTCCTCAGAAGCACATCACGTTAACCTAAGCTACATATCAGATCCAGAACTACTGTGAACGTTACTGTCACTCCATTTCCCTTAATAAGCATAAGCGTTATGGTTACATTTCACCGTTATATTTTCTCAAATATTTAATGTAGAATATAAATAATTAATAATTATAGTAATGACAAAAATCACTGCTCAAAGAACTTTTGGACATAGTTAAAACATTAGAAGGATGTCACATTTTCAGCTTGCAATTAAAAACCTACCAAAAAGCTCACGGGCATTACACTTACCGTGATAAACCAGTAAGAATTGATTCTGTACACGAGTCTGGATAAGAATCCCAGCTGACTGGCCGGGGCCAGGACATGAAGATGCAAGTGGGATATCGAGCAGAACGGAGGCCAGTGAAAACCCATTCTTCAGAAAAGAAAAACAAGTAAAACATAGTGGTGATGTTAATTCAGGAGGAAGTGGAACGCCGCAAGTTATTTAACATCATCGACTGAACTAAGAACTCGTCACATTTTCCTTGTACACAAAGGCAGGAACAAAAATATGCCTTCCTTTCATTATGCTCTCAGGGAACCTTTTTCAAAAGCCCATTAACCTCCTCCTTCACGTCTCTATATTTAAGATACGTTTTATTTTTTAAACCCTCCTTTTCAAAAATACATATCTTAAATGTATCATTATCTAGCTTCCAGCTGGAAAGTCAGCTGTCACCAGATGAATGTAGCTTCTACCTACTTTAACCATGAAGGCTCAGCTCTCCATACTCTACGCTATTTAAATTACATCACAATTCACTTCGGCCATCAAAGACACCGGCTTAAACTAAAGGGTGCAGCGCTGAAATCGCCGAGTGCAGGTGTGACTGAAATGCATGCACTGCCCTGCTTCAAAAGGACAACGTTTACCTCTCTTCTAGAAACCAGGATTTAGAGCGTATTTTCAGCATGTAATTAAAGAGTGGCCTTTTAGGCAAGTTGTCTGAAGTTCCCTCCCTATCCCAAGACATAGTCAAGAAAGAATCTCAGAGCTGGAACACAATTTGTGCTGGAAATTCATCAGGAAAAAAGAGTTTATATTCAAGGCCAGCACATTCTGCTTGAGAAGTCATGCCATAAGTGAATGCAGATCTGATTTCTTCAATAAATCACACTGCAGCTGTTGTCACCAGCTCTAAAATAGCATTCTGAAAAGTAAAAAACAAAAACACTGCACTGAACACAGAAGGTTTCCGTTACATACCTTACATCATTCAAGTCACTAAAATTATTTCTCTGGAGGACAGCTTTTCCAACTTCCATCATCCTCTTCACTATTAAACACAAATAAATTTCATTTAACATTTAAGTAATACTTTACACATCATATGACATTAACTAATTTTAAAAAGGTATTCTTCAGAATACTAACTTCAACAAACTGATTATGCTTAGATCACAAACATGTTTTTTTCGAAACATAAATACTGTGACCACTCATTACCAAACAGATTGTCAAGACAGCGTTGTAAAATAACTAACATGAAAACTGACACTGTCACCAATTTCCACACTAATGATGCTTTTAAGCATGGTACTATTCTAAGAACTCGGGCCAAAGCCATGCTATCACCACACCCTTTATAGAAAACCCCACAACAAATACTAATTGGTCAGAATGACGACGTTTCCACTAATTCCAGTGTTGTATCTCTACATAGCTACAGGACTTTGATCTTTACATCCTGTGCAGCCTGGCAAAAGTTAGGAAGTTTTAGAGGTGGTACACAAATTTAAATTAAAATAAAATAAAACTCTCAGTCCTACTTATGACTAGGACGAAGTTTCATTACTGTATCACTAAGAAAAGAAGCAACCCTACTACAAAAACTCAAGGCAAAAATCTAAGGAATTCTCTCAAAGCCAAACACACACAGAAGTTGTTTCTGAAGAAAACTACCCTATGTTTAGAAGAGAAATACAGCAATGCAAGATTTGCAACATGTGACTATAACTCTTCTCTTGCATCACCTGTAAATTTCCCTAAGGTGCAATCTCTTCATGTATGTATGGTTGTAGGTTCTTCTGTTTCTCAACACACTTAGCTAGGCATTTCTTGTGAAACAAGTTCCAGGACAATGTTTTCTTACAGAAAAAAAAAAAGCGCCTTTCAACATTAAATCCTTTAATATTTTAGAATTTTATCTCGTCAAAAATTATTTAAGCTTATTGGAACATGATTTCCCTCTTTCTTCTCTTGCTCTCTTTTTTCCTGAAAAATAATGTAACGCTTTAAAATAATACATTTTACAAAATGCATCTATAATTTTTCATATTAAAAAATGCCTATATATGTACGAAAACACAATGAAGCAGCACATAAACACTTTAAAAATAAAGCTGCAGTTCCAACAACGTGCAGAAGCATCTATGCTCCATGCAAACAAAAGAGATTTCATGCATGAGTGCAACGTTTCTCTAGAACTCCACAAAAAAAGGTGCTATTTTCGAATAGCACATGGAAGCTCTCAGGAAGGGTAAGTCCCTACCTACACCATCTATTTCCATGCTTACATCCTCAACCAAGTAGTGCTCAAAGGCATAATTTACCTGACAACACACTATTTAAGGCTGTGCAAAATCATTTGCCTTTAGGTTAAACACACACTTACGGCCTTACCTACAGGTATGTGTTCTGCCTTCAGTGTTTTGCAGTTTCCCATGTGCTCCACCGGCACCACCAGATAGTGGTGGGGGGCACCAGGCCTGATATCTCTAAAGCAAACAAGGTCTTCATACTAAAAAAGGATGCAGACATATTAAACTGATTAGGACGAGGGTCATAGAATCATAGAATGGTTTGGGTTGGAAGGGACCTCAAAGATCATCTAGTTCCACCCCCCCTGCCATGGCTATCGGCAAAAAGTAGGTAGCAAAGTCCATCTTCCCCATATCGATGTCATACTTAATGTTATATTTGAAATAATCAGCAAAAACCGTAAGATTTTTGGAGCCAGCTCGTAAGCAGGATCTGTGTCCTCAGCCAACCCCCCACAGTCAGGATCCTCAGTGCCTGCTCCAGGGTCTCCAGCCTTTGCACTGGCGCTTACAGAGGGCAAGATGTTTCCTTTCCGATGGATGTTTCGCTCCTGCCTCCACAAAAGAGCTGAGGGCCCTTATTCATAGATTCATAGATTTCTAGGTT